CTTTTTTTTTTTTTTTTTTTTTTCATTTTCTCTCACGGGTTCTCCAAGAGAACCCAGATTGGGTTCTATTGGAGAAACCCAGGTCTGGGTTCTGCTACAAAACCCAATCTGGGTTCTCTAGCAAAACCCAGATGGAAAGAAAAAAAAAAAAAAGAGGAAGAAGATAATGAATTTGTTAGGAGAGGGAGATGGAGAGACAAGAAGAAAAAGGGGGTATTGGGAGGAAGATGACTTTTAAGGATAAAGTTGTAATTTTGTTCTTATAATTATTCGGTTTTGTAGAGTGTGCACCCCTGGGTATCAAACCAGTGGGTGCACTAAGCATTTTCCTTATAGTTTACAGTTTCAATTTGAACTTCTTCGGTTGTTTGGTTTCTTGTGAAAAATGTTCTTCAAGTTCCTCCCATACGGTGCTCGCATGGTCTGCATAAATGATACTCTCACAAATTTTTTTGGAGATTGAATTGAGCAGCCAAGAAATAACCATGGTGTTACAACAAGTCATGATTGATAATTAGGAGAATCACTAGTTGGTTGAGGAAGCTTCCTATCAACAAAACCTAATTTGTTTTTTGCTCTGAGAGCAATAATGACGGCACAACGCCAAGTAGCATAATTGTCACCGGAAAGCGAAGTAGACACCAAGATATTACCATGAATATCTAAAGGATGAAGATAAAAGGGATTATTGCACTAGTCAATGGATGAAAGGCCAATAGTTCCATTGCTACTACTGTGGGTTGGATTTGGTGGAGTGGAATTGTCGGAGGCCATAGATTAAGTTTTTGTTGGCTCTGGTACCATGTAAAATTTGGTGAAATTTTTTTGGATAATGATGCATGCACACTCATTATCCACACATTCCGTTATACTCTTCAATTTTCGTTATTTTGTCGTTCATTACACTTAACTCCGTTTCCACCTCTTCAACTATCTCTCAACTCACACAACCCTTTCCGTCCTCACCAGATCCATCTTCCTCCTCACCTCCATCCTTATCCTAACCATCTGCAGGACAATT